TTAACTTTTTGATCTATTTTATTTGATTTCAATTTTAGAACAAAAAGTACCGGGTCTCCGTTTATTTTTGTGGACCATTTTTTTTAGGACTCACTCCGAAATGTATTAAGTACGGTACTTTCCCCAATTCTTTCTGTTTATATTACGAAAGATAAAACCAAAATCATTTCACCAAATAATAAATATCACATAAGAATTGTATAAGTCATCCGGATATAACAAATAAGAATCTATGAGACATCTATTTATAGATGATTATTACTACATTTACATAAAGGACAAAGAAAATAATAATAAAAAATATAAAGGATAAATGGAATAAGGGAATAGTGACGACATTGCCGTTCTATTCTCTAACTTGTATTTTATTAATTATTTTTTACTTTGTCATTTATTAAATGTGTGTTATAAACATAAGTACATAAGTCTCATAGATTTCTCTATGTGTTATATCCAAATGTACTTATACATACTTATGTGATTTATTGGTAGAATGATTTTGGTTTATCTTTAGTATTATAAACAGAAAGAACCATTGGGAAAGACGTCTACTGTAAAATTTCGGAGTGAGTCCTAAAAAATGTCCACAAAAATAACGAGAAAACCCCGTACTTTTGTTCTAAAAATTGAAATCAAATAAAAATAGATCAAAAAAAGTTATAAATCTGTAAATTTTTATGTAAATTTTTTTCTTAAATTTCTACTACAAAATATTATTATATAGAACTTCATAATAGATTTTTATCCGTGCAAATACAATAAAAATTGTTTTGGTGCAAGAGGCGTTCATTTTATATCTTGTAATATTACAAATTAGAAAAACTTTTTATCTCTAGCCTTGGTTAGTCAATTGTCTAAGTAGTCAGAACACATGGTCTAGTCAGAGCTATTTCAAGTACGGGTTTGTCGGCTGTAAATGCGCTATTTAATGCCCAAATCTTATAGTCTAAACGGTGCCTTCCGCTCACCGGTCGATGGCGTTTGGAAGAGACGCATTTGGAGAATTGCAACCGCGTAAAATGAACGGTGCCGTTCAAAACCGTAATATGAACGGTGCGTTCAACACGTTTATATATTCAACACCGTATATGAACGGTGCCGTTAAACGACCGATACAACACCGTAATATGAACGGGGTGCCGTTCAACAACCGTAGACACCGTATACAATTAATTGTACTTGTATGGTGTAGACACCGTATATGAACGGTGTCTATGGTGCCTCATCGCGGGAGACGACCGTCTACGGCCTTCATGAACGGGTGACGGACGTCTACGGTGCTTTACTGCGGTCGATGACGATTTGACGCGAACTGAGTCGAAGGCAACCTACTTACCCGATCTAGTTGACTATACGCGGTCGCATGACACGCACATCCGCAGGTGGGCTTATCAGGTAAACTCGACGATGCTAGTCCGTTGTTTTTTTTTCACTTGGATACATTACATCACAGTGATTGAAAAAATTCTACGAGTAACACACTGCAAAATTTGGATGAGAGACTGTCCAACTCACAAAAGTGCTACAAAACGGAAAAAGTATGCGGCATTGTTCGTGTACCTGAAATGACGGGGAGGGGGGTTTGTATATAATTTTACAGAAACCGGTCCGGGCAAGTCATGACAGTCACACATTTGTTTCGCTCAATTCTATTGCGAATATTGAGCTGTGACAAATTGTGGCTGCAATACATCCGGGCATTAATTCTGTTTATAAAAAGTGTGTGGTGAATACTGCAGACGTATATGTTACCGATCGGATTTAGACAAATTCGACATAACAACTTGCACTCTAGCATCGGATCGGCGGGCGCTTCTTATTAAAGTGTACATTATCGCGCAAACGACTAAACCGCTTATCGTAAAGAGTCTGAACCTTGCGTCAAGTCATACATACGTACTTGGCTAAACGCCCATTATTCGAATTTTTTTTCGGGTTATAATTTAGATTCGTTTGTACATAGTCTGAATCACTGGGTTGAATGAAACAGTCTCCTACCTAGCGTTACGGACCCAGCGGTCGGGGCAAGAAACCCGGTTATCGCACCAAGAGGACTTTACTCAGAAGAAGAAGAAAGAAGAAATCACAATAACCGCCCAACCGTTGGTTTAAAATCCACGTAATGGCGGTGGTTGACACTGACCTCAATACTGTTCTC